ACAACGCACGGTTTAATCGTGCGACGCTCTTCATTAGTCGGGATTAACGCGAAATAATAGCGTCAACGTCAGCGAAGAGCGCGGATCGATAACGAAAAATAATTTAGCGCGCCGGGGCGAACTGGGTCATTGATTCGCTTTGCGTTAGCCGGGTAAGTGCCCGGTAACCAAATTTAACTCTGACGGGCTCCGTAATAACGGATAAGTAAATCCATTAACCGCGCTGCCATAGTAACGCATAAATTCGTGATCCCGTTGAATGCGCCGATAGCGATTCTTCGTGTAATCGATTATTCCCCCTTTTACCGTTAACACATCGCGTGACCGCGTATCTTTCTCGATGCGCTCGGAATATTTCGCAGCCAGTTCGTGACATAAATTATTTATCGTTCGGCGGCAGGGAAATGGCGCTCGCGAGCGTCCGATGTAGATCACGTGGAAAAAAATCAGAATGCCGCTAGGAGGGTAAAGGGGGAGGGAGATCCAACCCCCCGCGCGGTCCAGCGAGCCTCGTTCGTAAGGACCTCGCGGAAATCGCGGGCAGTCGTGCCACGCTGTGAGCTGGATCAGGGGTGGACGAAGGCCGGTTTCGAGCGGGGGCGTTTCTGACGCAGCAAACAGAAAATAATACCGGGCAGCATTGTTCCCGCTCTCGTCGTCCGCCCTTCTGTCCCTCGCTTCATCCACTCGCCGTTCGTGTCCTGCTGCTGCACGATCATCCGTTCTCCATTGTCGAGTTTCGCCGGGGGCCCTCCGTCTCGCCCTCCAGCCTCCTTCTCCCCCTCCTCCTCATTCTCTTCTCACTCTCCTCGTTTCCCTCCCCGATCCTTTACCCTTCATCCGTGGTGGTACTCCAACCGTCTCGCTCGTTTTTTCACCGTTCCGCCCGAACGGCACATGTATTCCCATTTTTTAGTTGGGATTTGAAGAGAGAGAGAGAGAGAGAGAGAGATGGAAAGGAAGGAGGAGACGGTCACGACGACAGATTGCAGCGTTTACGCCGAGAGAAAAGGCGACGACCTCTATATTATTTGTCGTGTTTGCGCGACGCGTTAAAAGTCGCCATGTTCCGTAAGTTGATTATCGACGCAATAGAATCTCACGCCGATACGTGTATACGCTGCGCTCGACAACGATTTATTCGTGGTATGATGTGCGTATAATACAGGAAAGATGATTGTTCTGCACAAGTGAAGAGAATTCAGCGTTTAGCGCCAAGCTATCGTAACTACGCGTTTTAAGTACTTCGATCAAGACTGTGTCTTACAGCACTACAATATTTTATTCTCGGTCTCAACTCACAGCCGTCGCTATTTCTCGCTCATCGTGTACGTTATTTGATTCGATAAAAAATATTTCTATCAGTCTGTCGCGCGAGAAAGAGAAAGAGGGGGGGAGGGGGGCCTCGTCCCTTCCTGCATCATCCATATTTTATCGTCCCTTGAGGAGGGCCGATTCGCGACAGATTGGAACGTTTATTCGAAAGGGTGGCTGCGTAACGGCATGCCGTTGCGATTCATCACGCGTACCGATGAAATATACTTTCTCGGTGAGCAAATGAATTCGAAAACTAATTTTCGATAGCCATCCCGGGCGCTGATTCGACCTCGTTTTTCAATTTTCCGCGCGCCCCGTCGCCGCGCCGTAATCGTGAAATATGATTATTCCGTCTCGCCCCAGATTATTTTTAACGTTCGACCCCTCTTCCCCTCCCTCCTCCCCGTTTCTCCCACGTTCTCGCTTGCACCTCGACCGTGCGGAGATCGACGAACGACGATCGATCGGTACAGTCGGCCGGTGCGATCCAATCTCGCCGACTTTCGTGAGCGGCGATATCGCGCAATCCGGCGAGTTGATTGAAATATCCGGCGCGCTTACCCTTTTTTTCACGACGAGATTTTCAGTAGCCGCGGATTGTTTCCGCAATTTTCCACGTGTTTCCCGAAAGCTCGTGAATATCCCCGTTTTTATGATCGCGGATCGCAACTCCTCGCACGCGTCGCGCGCTGCGATGAAAAAACTAATCTGATCGGCGCTCGCGCGCAGTACGTTGATCCATTTTGGCCATTTTTCTTTATTCGCGCACCGTGCCTAGTTTGATTAACCGAATAGATAAATAGATAAACGCCCGATCCACTTCCGTGACGGATGCGACTTGTAATTGCAGCGCGTATACGCGAATCTTTATGGAATTTTAAGAGCGTCGGTGTCCCGATACTACACGCCACGAAGTTTACAATTGTAACGGAGAACGGTACGATGATCGACGTCGGGTGGCCTGCAGGTCCGTGAATTCAATAGAATTTCACCGGAACTCTCTCGGCGAGACGTGGCAGCTACCGAAGTGCTGTCGACGAAAGTTCAACCACTTTGCCGCTCGACGACAAGCGATCGCGCCCGCTTTTGCGCGATAATAGACTTTTAAGCTGTCGATATAGCACACAGACGGACGACGGTGATATCCCAATTAAAGACGCCTAACTGAATCCCGATGTGATCCCTCCATAATTTTCGCCGCCTCAAGTGACTCACTCGCGGTGGGTAAGATACACGAGTCCCGCGAAATCCGCGAGGTTTAACAGCCGTATTGCATTCATCAATTACATTTGGAAATCTTTGTGCTTCGGAGTAATTTAATTTAATTTTCTCTATATGAAAGCTTTTTTTACATATAATCAACACTCGAGATTTCATTAATTATTTAAAACGGCAGAAATATTAAATTAGCGAGAGTAACAATTACGTATCTTCTAACCGTTGAATTCGCGAAATGTGATATTACCGAAATATAATTAAAACGGATAAAATTTAATTTAAATTACAATGTATTGTAATAATGAAAAGGGATGGAGATAAGAGAAAATGTTGAGAAAATACTGAGAAATTGTCATATTTATGCCATGTTTAGTGCATCGACAAAAAATTTACTCGTACTCGTCGATATATTTTATAAATATATTTGGAAGTTTAAAAACATCTCCGTAAAATCGTATATCGCGCTAAGTCTACGGTCGCCATTCTATAAATATCCTCCGTCATATGACGTATCAATATTCGTTTCTACTATTAATCATCCGGTAAACCGACGTGATACCGATAAAACCGGTGGAACGGACAAATTATCGGCACGGGAGAGAAAGTCCTTGCGTTTCTTCCTATCGCCACAGGAATAACCGTTACACAGATGACGCGATAGAAGTAAATTATCCGCGGATTAAGAGCGTCCCGCGCGTAAAAGAGAGAGGAGCACCGCCAATTTTCTAAGGGATCTCCGGGATGTGGGACGATACTCTATTTTTCCAGACGACCGTTACGAAGCGGGATCGAGCCGTGGAGCGATTTATTAAGATCCTCGACGGTCCCGGGCAGAAGGTAAACCCGAGCTGGAAGACGGAACGAGAAGCTGACCGGGAGAACAGCCAAGAGGGATGACCGTAAGATGCGGCTCATCTTGGAAAACCTTAACGCTCCCGCGCAGCCGAGAGAGACTGCGGGTCTCTCGAAGGATGAGGTATCAAGCGGAATCCTTCCCGAGAACGGCGGAAATAAATCTCGCAACGTCATATCCGTAAACATACTTTTACCGGAGGAATCTACTGAGAGCAAAAAGACAAAAAAAGAATTGAGAGAGAGAAAGAGAGAGAGAGAGAAGATCGCGCAAGAAGGGCAACTCGGCGCTTCGCGTAAATAGGACGAATTTTCGAGACGTAAAGGATATCGCTGTAGTAATTTCTCACCCACCATCACCACCACCTCCTCCCTTGGTACTAACATTACCCACTGTTAAATTCCCCCGCGATATAGAATTACTCGCAGTTCGCGAATTACTCGCGGCCGCTATTTCCCCTCTCCCGCGTGCCCTCTCGCCTATCCATAACGACGCGACGGCGCACATAATGAATGATTTTACAACTCACTCCGAAAGCGGGGGACCGCGATTTCAGCTCGTATCGAGGGAAATCGTTTATCAAACGTAAATTATTTGTCGAGTTTAAGTCGGCGAGCAGCAACGGCAACGACGGTCAATTGCGTAATTTCGCGATTCGTATCGCCTACCGCTTCCCGTGCGCTCATTATCTCATAATAATAATTAATTCCTCATTAATCACCGCGAACTTCGCAAAATGTCACACTACTTTCCTGTTCAGTTTAATCTACCTGCACATCATGGATCTCGAGATAATTATCGGGCACTCTGTATAAAATGTAGAAAGTTCTTCGAAAAATATTTCGTTAACGTCTGAATCTCGCGAGGTCGGGGGCAGAATTTCAAGATTTTTGTTAAGCTAAAAACACCGACACACCTGTGCGCGCGCGTTGACGTCGCATTTCTCGCGCAAAATTCGCACCAACGTGCGCGGCCGTATTTGTTTTTCCTCGCGGAACACCTCGGCGGGCCGGCGCGTATGCGGAGAAACCGGCAAATCGCTCTTCATGAAAAACGGAGGATATTACCGGGTTCAGCCGAGGAGCATATTTACCCGCGGACGTAATCACGGGCTCCGCGCCGCTCACTTCTGCCAACGCACGGCTACTTTCACGATGTCGTCACGAGCGCGCGTATTGCCCATTAATGTGAGCTACGGCCCGGCCATTACGTCGGAATGCTCGCTTTCGAAATAAAAGACAACGGGTCGCCGCCGCGCGTACACCCACGACACGCGTCTGGTAGATCGCGTATTATGCGCGCAACTCCTCCGATCCTTTTTGTTTCGGAACGGACCTTCGGGGATCGCGCAAAAATGCGGCGTGTGTGTTGCCTCCGATTATACACACACGGATTTCGACATCCGACGCTTTAAAGCGTGTCGAACGATCGTTCAGCAATTGTGCCGACCGATCGATTGTACGACCGAGAACTACGCTTCGACAGGCTTCATGGCCTTTGAACAGTCGCGTAGTTTTTTTACGCAGGCCATTAGTACGTTCAAATCGCGTGGCGTCTGTTCAGGGACGCACAGCTTCGCGGTGGAAGACTACGAGAACGTGAATACACTCACCCAAGAAGACATTCTCGTCGATGTCGTCGGCGTGTAGATCGAGGTCGAGCTCGGGCGCTCCGTTGTTGCCGGGAGCCTGATGGCTCCTCTTTGCCAGGTCCATCAGCTCCAGGAGATCGTCTCGCAGCTCGAGGCGGCCCGCGGCCAGAAGCTCGGCCAGCAGGGTCAGGTAAGGCGAGGTCAACAGGCGGGGACTGGTAGCACGCAGGCAACCGGGTAACCAGAGTCCTGGGAGACCGTACGGAACCACCGGTACCGCGCCGGCACTGACGAAGCCACCGTTCAGGAGTTCGCCGCACAACATAGATGCCGGGATGACCTCAGCTCCTCCCTCGTGACCTTGGCACCGCCTCGATGTCGGCTATCTGCGAGAGGGGAGAGAGAGAGAGCTTCGATTAGTCCGAGAATCAGGACGTTCGCGGAGAATTAATTGCGAAACTTGCGGCGAGTTTTCTAAAGGTTAGCGAGCTAAGAAATGGGACGAGCCGGCGGCGTGCGAACGGGAGGAGGGAGGGGGGATGCTTCGCTACTTTACGCCGTGGAGAAGTTGAGGAACCGAGCTTTACGAGAAAGAATCGGGCGAGAATTTTTAAATCTGCGGAAACCACCGGCTATACCTCGGCTAATGTGGAGGGGGTTAAAGACTGCGAAGGCGGAGATGATTATTCACGGAGGAAGATTAAACGGACTTTGGAATCATCAGCTATCCGGGAAATTTCGCCGGCAACCAGCGAGGTTCATTATTATTTGAAGTGTTAAACGCTTTTTAGACGTATTAAGGCAATGTGAATCCTCGTGCTCGATTTGTTGCGTTTCTCACGCTCGAAAGGAGTTTAAATAATCCACGAGTCGGTGATGGCTTCTTTTCGGAAAACAAATTGCGCATTTTACGATATACAGGATGTTTTTTCGGCTTGGGGAATTCTGAAAAATCTTTAAAAATCGAAATATTAAAGATGTTGGCTTCATCGTGATAGAGACGATAGCCACAAATTTATAGTTTAATAATATTTTTGCCGTTTTAATTTCAAAAACCTACAACGTCCGGGATCGTGACCATTAACCTTTCGCGATCAGCGTTAGCAAAATTATTTATAACTTTATTAATATTGAAGATAATAATGTATGGAAATTGCAGTACGTAGTTAAAGCATAGATAAATATTTATACAAAACTTCAGAATGTACGTCGTGTAGTTAAATAAAAAAAATCCTAAAAGTCACTTATCGAATAAAACGTTCCAAATAAGAATATCCCCTTAATTGCTCAAGATTTCGCGTGGATGTTTGCAAACTCGCAGAGGACTCTTTTGCTCACATCGACATAAACTACAAATATATGACAGATAGGATGGCTTGCGTCAGATATCCTGCATATCACGCAGCTGAACTTCAAACAGAGGACGCCATCGTTCTTATCCATCTCGTAAGCCGCCGTAGACGCGCCAAGGTGCGCTTCATTAACACATCTATTCATTTCTTGGCGAATTCTCGGGTTCGACGTTTCCCGTGAGTCAAAAGAAATCGCACGACTTCTCGCGCGCGCGCGTTAGTCGATTTCTTTCCGGGAGGGGGAATTTACGCGCGCCCACAGAACACATATATTACATAGGATTCCGAAAGTCCCATTGGCAGTAACGCTGGGACTTTACGAAGTTAAACTTTGTTATGCGGGACGCGTCTTCCCGTCGTCTCGCGTCTCACGAACTTTGCGGGACACCCATTCCCGTCGTTAACGCGCGTGTATGTATGCTGACGCGTGCAAGATCTCACACACGCTGCCAAAGCCGTCGCAAAGCGTCATTAAATATACAATTTCGCGGGCACGGACGTGAAAGCCGGGGACGGCGCGGGTTATAATAGCCGCGAACGGAGAACGAAATTTCGAGTCCGGTCGCGGTCTAACAAAGGAGCGGGTAATACCGAACGCGAAACAACCTGGAAACAATACGATCTCTCGCAGCCGGGCGAACGGGCGCACAATTATCGTGAAATATACGCAAATTAATCCCTCCCACGCGCGAGGCGGTCGTGCAGACAGACCCCTGATGAAATACGAACCGAATGGAGTAACACGAAGGCGGTGCCGTCAAGATACGGAGATAACGGGTGTTGCGAAGCGAAAGCGCCTGGACGACCGAGTCAACAGCCAATTCGATTGATTGAGTTCTGTCGAGCTAAATAAACTAGGTTCGCCGATTCAGTTACAGAGAGAGAGAGAGAGAGAGAGAGAGACGTGGATTTGCTAAATCTATTTGCTATCTGGAACTTTTTTCTACGTGGCTCTCAGTAGGAGATTATTATCTCAAGTACCACGGTACACGAAGAATTTAATTTCTGACGTAATTAAATAATCGGTTGAGTGTGTATATTAATTGCAGCTAACATGTGGAATGAAAGTTTCCCTCTCTATCTCAGTACACGCGTAAGAGAAATATCGTTGTTATATAACTGTATTAAATATATCATATATCGTGAAAGTACTCTTTAATTATACGCAGAAAAAAACAGTCTTCTTAATTAAAATCTTAAATTAATGATAGATATTCTTATATATAAGCAGGAATATTATCATTTTTAAAAGAAATTTAGTTTCGAATTGAATGCAAGTAATACATGAGTCAATACAAATGCAATCAAATCAAGATGTTCACTGCTCTGAACTCAAGATAGAAATAAAAGAATATTACGGGTTCCTCCTGTTTCGTAAATTGAGAAAACTAAAGTATTCCTTATAGATTAACTATTCCGGATGATTTCAGACAGAAAGATGTTTCTGGAATCATCGATCCGTGTTTCTGAAAGCACGCACATCGAGCGAGCAAACTATTCGGTTAAATTCACGCTGTGTTTCACACAATTCACGCACCATTTTTTCCACACACGTGTTGGACGAAGTGCTCATGACAGACGACGTGGATTTTTGAAGGAAAAGACCGCGCGACTCGCGAGACCTGCGATGTTTTTCGAGAGGACACGCGGATACGCTCGGTCGCGGGCACTGGCGATGCGGCACTGAAGCAGCGCAAATGGAGCATGACAGGCGGAAAACCGGAAGTGATCCAATGGGAGGAGAGACATTCCCGTGGAGCCGACCGTCCGCATGACGTCAGGCTTGGCGCGGGTGTGAATGCATCGAGTGATCTCACGGCGACAAGGCTGTGATATGCGCCCGATGCACCCGGCGCGCCGTGCTGATAAACGGCGAACGGGATTTGACAGATTTTACGAGAGCAGAGATCATCTCGCGGAACAATCCATTTCTGTCTCTATACATCGCGAATTAGAGATTTTAACTAGAAGATAGAGGAGGACGAGCGAAAGCATCGAGATATAACCAGACTGTGATTCGGTTCCGACATTTCAAAATGCGATAAAATATTTAATAATAATTTTTATGATTATTTACGCGAAAGCATTTTTCGACTACAAAAAAAGGCCTAATACTTATAAGATTACAAAAGAATAATATCTAATCGGCGTTACATTAAAGAATAAATTATAAATCAGTAGAGTACACACAAACTAGTAAATGTAAGCAATACATAAGGAGAAAGAAAAAGCGTATATGTTTAATTAGAATTGATTAATAGGTCGAGCTAAAGATGGCAGTAAGTGAATTTTTTAAACCTGAAAACATTGCACTGAAAAAAAAACCACTTTAATTCACGAAACTCGACGAGAAAGGTTGGAAAAGGAGGAAGAAAATTGGATTCGATAAAAACACGGTTGCTCGAATTGAGAAATCGGTGAAAATACACTTCGGATCGATGGAAGACTCACGTGACGAGAGGAAGATTCGACGATCTGCAGGAGAACACTATGTTCCTGGGTGCATACAGGTACACGTCTCCTTCGCGGATCACCGTGGAACCGAGCGTGGTGGATCTGAGGCGAGACACGCATAGCGAAAACATCTCGCCCGTTAATCCGCTCGCCTACGCACGCAGCCACCACGCGAGATTACATTATGCGCGCGTCGCGCGGCTCGAGATTATGCCGCGAGAAATTGCCGGCAAACTTCGGCGTCCCTGAAATTCCGGATCGGAATTCGCGCAGCGGCGTAGCGACGCGGGGAACGCGGGCATTCGCCGTCCTCTCCTGATGTCGCGAAGATCCCGCGACTTTACGGACGGCAAACGCGACGGGGAATTATCCTGCGGGATCCTTCGCCGGAGTATTCGTTACGGTAACCGATGCATAACACTCGCGGCTTATGAGGCGACGGGGATTCCGCGCGCGCGTCATCGCCGTAGTGGAAATTGCTCGGAGGCAGGAGCCGACGTGTAATGTCATTTGTACAGCGCATGACCGGAATTCGCGATATTACACCGCACAATTCAGATCCGGCGAATTCTCGTCTAAAAAGGGCCCACACAATTCGAGAATTCGCTCCCTTCCTCCGGATCTCTCCCCGAGTCGCGGAGGGTGGATGTCCGATGCGACGTCGAACGGAATCGGAGCTGAATGATTTTCCGCTTCGCGTGCCGTGCGATCGATCCGGTGAAATGCAACGCGAACGCATATATGGACGATATTGTATTCCTGTCAATCAACGGAGTGCCCGGGACAGATTCCGAGCGTCTCCTCGGGATCTTACGAGCCCGATTGGAAACGATATTTCGTCCCCACGGGTATCGACACCGAGTTCATCGCGAGTGCATGCCGTTAGACAAGCTATTGTCGAGATTTCCACGAGTGGCATCGTGCACGTAGTAAATATTTTCGTGAACATACCTCGCCGATACGCACGTATTAATGCGACACAAATGGCTCGTCGCGCAACACGCTCGTGAAATTCGGGAGCTGCGGGCCCATTCGATATTAAATGCCGCTTCGATTCCGGCTTGATAACAAGTATCGGCCTGGTTGGTATCGCAGCGGCGCGAGCGCAAATATTAGCAATACATTTCCGCCTGTCAATACGCCGTGATATTCGCGCCCGGCGACAGCAACAGATGTCGCAATATCCGTGGCATCTTTGCTAAGGGTAAAGGGGGGAAGGAGGGGGGCGTAAATTAGATCTTGCAATTTTCTCCCCGTCGGGGTTACGATTGTACGGGAAAATTACCGGGGCTCGCGCCTCTCTAACCGTCCATTCGAATTAATCCGGCGCATCCGACGGACGTGAGGTATGATAGATAAATTCACATGTACGTACCGCGATGCGGAAGCTCTAATTATTATCGTCGGTAAAGGCCGGGGGGAAGAGGGGGTGCGCGGCAACAGAGTTAAAATTCTCTCCCCTCGTTACTCGCACGCGACTTGCGAGGTGCCGGCGGGCTCGATTCGCGCGAACGGTTCGCGCGGAATTGCGCTATTAACGGCGGGATGAATCACGACCGGCTAGGAATATCGCGATACCG